CGTGGACGTGGACGTGGACGTGGACGTGGACGTGGACGTGGACGTGGTCGTGGACGTGGACGTGGACGTGGACGTGGACATGGACGTGGTCGTGGACGTGGTCGTGTGGACGTGGACGTGGACGTGGACGTGGACGTGGTCGTGGACGTGGTCGTGGACGTGGACATGGACGTGGACGTGGACGTGGACGTGGACCTGGACGTGGACATGGACGTGGACGTGGACGTGGACGTGGACGTGGACATCGTCGTGGACGTTGACGTGGACGTGGACGTGGACGTGGACGTGGACGTGGACGTGGTCGTGGACGTGGACGTGGACGTGGACATGGACGTGGACGTGGACGTGGACCTGGACATGGACGTGGACGTGGACGTGGACGTGGACACGGACGTGGACGTGTGGACGTGGACGTGGACGTGGACGTGGACCTGGACGTGGACGTGGACGTGGACCTGGACGTGGACGTGGACAGGACGTGGACGTGGACGTGGACGTGGACGTGGACGTGGACGTGACACGTGGACATGGACGTGGACGTGGACGTTGACGTGGACGTGGACGTGGACGTGGAGGACGTGGACCTGGACGTGGGACGTGGATGTGGACGTGGACGTGGAGGTGGACATGGAGGTGGACATGGAGGTGGACGTGGACGTGGACGTGGACGTGGACGTGGACCTGGACGTGGAGGTGGACCTGGACGTGGACGTGGACGTGGACGAGACGTGGACGTGGACGTGGACGTGGACGTGGTCGTGGAGTGGTCGTGGACGTGGTCGTGGACGTGGACCTGGACGTCGACGTGGACGTGGACGTGGACGAAGACTGACGTGGACGTGGACATGGACGTGGACGTGGACGTGGACATGGACGTGGACGTGGACGTGGACGTGGACGTGGACGTGGACGTGGACGTGGACGTGGACGTGGACGTGGAGATGGACGTGGACGTGGATATGGACGTGGACGTGGACGTGGACGTTGGACGTGGACGTGGACGTGGACGTGGACGTGGACGTGGACGTTGACGTGGACGTGGACGTGGACGTGGACGTGGACGTGGACGTGGACGTGGTCGTGGACGGACGTGGACGTGGACGTGGACGTGGACGTGGTCGTGGACGTGGTCGTGGACGTGGACGTGGACGTGGACGTGGACGTGGACGTGGTCGTGGACGTGGTCGTGGACGTGGACGTGGACGTGGACGTGGACGTGGACATGGACGTGGACGTGGACGTGGACGTGGACATGGTCGTGGACGTGGTCGTGGACGTGGACGTGGAAGTGGACGTGGACTGGACGTGGACATGGTCGTGGACGTGGACGTGGACGTGGACATGGACGTGGACGTGGACGTGGACATGGACTGGACGTGGACGTGGACGTGGACGTGGACATGGACATGGACGTGTGGACGTGGACGTGGACGTGGACGTGTGGACGTGGACGTGGACGTGGACGTGGACGTGGACGTGGACCTGGACGTGGACATGGACGTGGACGTGGTCGTGGACATGGACGTGGTCGTGGACGTGGACGTGGACGTGGTCGTGGACGTGGACGTGGACGTGGTCGTGGACGTGGTCGTGGACGTGGACGTGGACGTGGACGTGGACGTGGACGTGGACATGGACGTGGACGTGTGGACGTGGACATGGACGTGGACGTGGTCGTGGACGTGGACGTGGACGTGGACGTGGTCGTGGACGTGGACGTGGACGTGGACGTGGACGTGTCGTGGACGTGGACGTGGACGTGGACATGGACGTGGACGTGGACGTGGACGTGGACGTGGACGTGGACGTGGACGTGGACATGGTCGTGGACGTGGACGTGGACGTGGACATGGACGTGGACGTGGACGTGGACCTGGACATGGACGTGGACGTGGACGTGGACATGGACGTGGACGTGTGGACGTGGACGTGGACGTGGACGTGGACGTGGTTGTGGACGTGGTCGTGGACGTGGACGTGGACGTGGACGTGGACGTGGTCGTGGACGTGGTCGTGGACGTGGACGTGGACGTGGACGTGGACGTGGACGTGGACGTGGACGTGGACATGGACGTGGACGTGGACGTGGACCTGGACGTGGACGTGGACATGGTCGTGGACGTGGACGTGGACGTGGAGGTGGACGTGGACGTGGACGTGGACGTGGACGTGGACGTGGACGTGGACATGGACGTGGACGTGGACCTGGACGTGGACGTGTGGACGTGGACATGGACGTGGACGTGTGGACGTGGACGTGGACGTGGACGTGGACGTGGACGTGGACGTGGACGTGGACGTGGACGTGGACGTGGACGTGACGTGGACGTGGACGTGGTCGTGGACGTGGACGTGGACATGGACGTGGACGTGGACGTGGACATGGACATGGACGTGGACGTGGACATGGACGTGGACGTGTGGACGTGGACGTGGACGTGGACGTGGACGTGGACGTGGTCGTGGACGTGGTCGTGGACGTGGACGTGGACGTGGACGTGGACGTGGTCGTGGACGTGGACGTGGACGTGGACGTGGACATGGACGTGGTCGTGGACGTGGTCGTGGACGTGGACGTGGACGTGGACGTGGACGTGGACGTGGACGTGGTCGTGGACGTGGTCGTGGACGTGGACATGGAAGTGGACGTGGACGTGGACGTGGACGTGGACGTGGACGTGGACATGGACGTGGACGTGGACGTGGACGTGGACGTGGACGTGGACATCGTCGTGGACGTTGACGTGGACATAGACGTGGACGTGGACGTGGACGTGGACATGGTCGTGGACGTGGACGTGGACGTGGACGTGGACGTGGACATGGACGTGGACGTGGACGTGGACGTGGACGTGGACATCGTCGTGGACGTTGACGTGGACGTGGACGTGGACGTGGACGTGGACGTGGACATGGTCGTGGACGTGGACGTGGACGTGGACATGGACGTGGACGTGTGGACGTGGACATGGACGTGGACGTGGTCGTGGACGTGGACGTGGTCGTGGACGTGGTCGTGGACGTCGACGTGGACGTGGACGTGGACGTGGTCGTGGACGTGGACGTGGACGTGGACATGGTCGTGGACGTGGACGTGGACGTGGACGTGGACGTGGACGTGGACATGGTCGTGGACGTGGACGTGGACGTGGACATGGACGTGGACGTGGACGTGGACCTGGACATGGACGTGGACGTGGACGTGGACATGGTCGTGGACGTGGTGGACGTGGACGTGGACGTGACGTGGACGTGGTTGTGGACGTGGTCGTGGACGTGGACGTGGACGTGGACGTGGACGTGGTCGTGGACGTGGTCGTGGACGTGGACGTGGACGTGGACGTGGACGTGGACCTGGACGTGGACGTGGACATGGACGTGGACGTGGACGTGGACGTGGACCTGGACGTGGACGTGGACATGGTCGTGGACGTGGACGTGGACGTGGACATGAGGTGGAGGTGGACGTGGACGTGGACGTGGACGTGGTCGTGGACGTGGACGTGGACGTGGACGTGGACGTGGTCGTGGACGTGGTCGTGGACGTGGACGTGGACGTGGAGGTGGACGTGGACGTGGTCGTGGACGTGGACGTGGACGTGGACATGGACGTGGTCGTGGACGTGGACGTGGACGTGGTCGTGGACGTGGTCGTGGACGTGGACGTGGACGTGGACGTGGACGTGGACGTGGACATGGACGTGGACGTGTGGACGTGGACATGGACGTGGTTGTGGACGTGGTCGTGGACGTGGACGTGGACGTGGACGTGGACGTGGTCGTGGACGTGGTCGTGGACGTGGACGTGGACGTGGACGTGGACGTGGACCTGGACGTGGACGTGGACATGGCCGTGGACGTGGACGTGGACGTGGACCTGGACGTGGACGTGGACATGGTCGTGGACGTGGTCGTGGACGTGGACGTGGACGTGGACGTGGAGGTGGACGTGGACGTGGACGTGGACGTGGACGTGGACGTGGACGTGGACCTGGACGTGGACGTGGACCTGGACGTGGACGTGTGGACGTGGACATGGACGTGGACGTGTGGACGTGGACGTGGACGTGGACGTGGACGTGGACGTGGACGTGGACGTGGACGTGGACGTGGACGTGGACGTGGACGTGGACGTGGTCGTGGACCGTGGACCGTGGACATGGACGTGGACGTGGACGTGGACCTGGACGTGGACGTGTGGACGTGGACATGGACGTGGACGTGGACGTGGACGTGGACGTGGACGTGGACGTGGACGTGGACGTGGACGTGGACGTGGACGTGGACGTGGACGTGGGACGTGGACGTGGTCGTGGACGTGGACGTGGACATGGACGTGGACGTGGACGTGGACATGGACATGGACGTGGACGTGGACATGGACGTGGACGTGTGGACGTGGACGTGGACGTGGACGTGGACGTGGACGTGGTCGTGGACGTGGTCGTGGACGTGGACGTGGACGTGGACGTGGACGTGGACGTGGTCGTGGACGTGGACGTGGACGTGGACGTGGACATGGACGTGGTCGTGGACGTGGTCGTGGACGTGGACGTGGACGTGGACGTGGACGTGGACGTGGTCGTGGACGTGGTCGTGGACGTGGACATGGAAGTGGACGTGGACGTGGACGTGGACGTGGACGTGGACGTGGACATGGACGTGGACGTGGACGTGGACGTGGACGTGGACATCGTCGTGGACGTTGACGTGGACGTGGACGTGGACGTGGACGTGGACATGGTCGTGGACGTGGACGTGGACGTGGACATGGACGTGGACGTGGACGTGGACGTGGACGTGGACATGGACCTGGACGTGGACGTGGATGTGGACGTGGACGTGGACGTGGACGTGGACCTGGACGTGGACGTGGACGTGGACGTGGACGTGGACGTGGACGTGGACGTGGACGTGGACGTTGACGTGGACGTGGACGTGGACGTGGAGGACGTGGACCTGGACGTGGACGTGGATGTGGACGTGGACGTGGAGGTGGACATGGAGGTGGACATGGAGGTGGACGTGGACGTGGACGTGGACGTGGACGTGGACCTGGACGTGGATGTGGACCTGGACGTGGACGTGGACGTGGACGTAGACGTGGACGTGGACGTGGACGTGGACGTGGTCGTGGACGTGGTCGTGGACGTGGTCGTGGACGTGGACCTGGACGTGGACGTGGACGTGGACGTGGACGAAGACTGGACGTGGACGTGGACATGGACGTGGACGTGGACATGGACATGGACGTGGACGTGGACGTGGACGTGGACGTGGACGTGGACGTGGACGTGGACGTGGACGTGGACGTGGATATGGACGTGGACGTGGATATGGACGTGGACGTGGACGTGGACGTTGACGTGGACGTGGACGTGGACGTGGACGTGGACGTTGACGTGGACGTGGACGTGGACGTGGACGTGGACGTGGACGTGGACGTGGACGTGGACGTGGTCGTGGACGTGGACGTGGACGTGGACGTGGACGTCGACGTGGTCGTGGACGTGGTCGTGGACGTGGACGTGGACGTGGACGTGGACGTGGACGTGGTCGTGGACGTGGTCGTGGACGTGGACGTGAACGTGGACGTGGACGTGGACCTGGACGTGGACGTGGACGTGGACGTGGACATGGTCGTGGACGTGGACGTGGAAGTGGACGTGGACTGGACGTGGACATGGTCGTGGACGTGGACGTGGACGTGGACATGGACGTGGACGTGGACGTGGACGTGGACATGGACGTGGACGTGGACGTGGACGTGGACATGGACGTGGACGTGTGGACGTGGACGTGGAGGTGGACGTGGACGTGTACCTGGACGTGGACGTGGACGTGGACGTGGACCTGGACGTGGACATGGACGTGGACGTGGTCGTGGACGTGGACGTGGTCGTGGACGTGGACGTGGACGTGGTCGTGGACGTGGACGTGGACGTGGTCGTGGACGTGGTCGTGGACGTGGACGTGGACGTGGACGTGGACGTGGACATGGACGTGGACGTGTGGACGTGGACATGGACGTGGACGTGGTCGTGGACGTGGACGTGGTCGTGGACGTGGTCGTGGACGTCGACGTGGACGTGGACGTGGACGTGGTCGTGGACGTGGACGTGGACGTGGACATGGTCGTGGACGTGGACGTGGACGTGGAGGTGGACGTGGACGTGGACGTGGACATGGTCGTGGACGTGGACGTGGACGTGGACATGGACGTGGACGTGGACGTGGACCTGGACATGGACGTGGACGTGGACGTGGACATGGACGTGGACGTGTGGACGTGGACGTGGACGTGGACGTGGACGTGGTCGTGGACGTGGTCGTGGACGTGGACGTGGACGTGGACGTGGACGTGGTCGTGGACGTGGTCGTGGACGTGGACGTGGACGTGGACGTGGACGTGGACCTGGACGTGGACGTGGACATGGACGTGGACGTGGACGTGGACGTGGACCTGGACGTGGACGTGGACATGGTCGTGGAGGTGGACGTGGACGTGGACGTGGAGGTGGACGTGGAGGTGGACGTGGACGTGGACGTGGACGTGGACGTGGACATGGACGTGGACGTGGACGTGGACGTGGACATGGACGTGGACGTGGACGTGGACATGGACGTGGACGTGGACGTGGACGTGGACGTGGTCGTGGACGTGGACGTGGACGTGGACGTGGACGTGGACGTGGACGTGGTCGTGGACGTGGACGTGGACGTGGACGTGGTCGTGGACGTGGACGTGGTCGTGGACGTGGACGTGGACGTGGACGTGGACGTGGACGTGGACGTGGTCGTGGACGTGGTCGTGGACGTGGACATGGACGTGGACGTGGACCTGGACGTGGACATGGACGTGGACGTGGACGTGGACGTGGACGTGGACGTGGACGTGGACATCGTCGTGGACGTGGACGTGGACGTGGACGTGGACGTGGACGTGGACGTGGACATGGTCGTGGACGTGGACGTGGACGTGGACATGGACGTGGACGTGGACGTGGACCTGGACATGGACGTGGACGTGGACGTGGACGTGGACATGGACGTGGACGTGTGGACGTGGACGTGGACGTGGACGTGGACCTGGACGTGAACGTGGACGTGGACGTGGACCTGGACGTGGACGTGGACGTGGACCTGGTCGTGGACGTGGACGTGGACGTGGACGTGGACGTGGACATGGACGTGGAGGACGTGGACATGGACGTGGACGTTGACGTGGACGTGGACGTGGAGATGGACGTGGACGTGGACATGGACGTGGACGTAACCTTGGACGTGGACGTGGACGTGGACGTGGACGTGGACTTGGACATGGTCGTGGACGTGGACGTGGACGTGAACATGGACGGGGAAGTGGACGTGGACATGGACGTGGACGTGGACGTGGAGATGGACGTGGACGTGGACGTGGACGTGGACGTGGACCTGGACGTGGACCTGGACGTGGACGTGGACGTGGACGTGGACGTCGACCTGGACGTGGACGTGGACCTGGACGTGGACGTGGACGTGGTCGTGGACGTGGTCGTCGACGTGGACGTGGACGTGGACGTGGATGTGGACGTGGACGTGTGGACGTGGACGTGGACGTGGACGTGGTCATGGACGTGGACGTGGTCGTGGACGTGGTCGTGGACGTGGACGTGGTCGTGGACGTGGACGTGGACGTGGACGTGGACGTGGTCGTGGACGTGGTCGTGGACGTGGACGTGGACGTGGGCGTGGACGTGGACGTGGACCTGGAGATGGACGTGGACGTGGACGTGGACGTGGACGTGAACGTGGACGTGGACGTGGTCGTGGACGTGGACGTGGTCGTAGACGTGGACTTGGACTTGGTCGTGGACGTGGACGTGGACGTGGACATGGACGTGGACGTGGACGTGGACGTGGACGTGGACATGGACGTGGACGTGGACGTGGACATGGACGTGGACGTGGACGTGGACGTGGACATGGACGTGGACGTGTGGACGTGGACGTGGACGTGGACGTGGACGTGGACGTGGACCTGGACGTGGACGTGGACGTGGACGTGGACCTGGACGTGGACGTGGACGTGGACCTGGTCGTGGACGTGGACGTGGACGTGGACGTGGTCATGGACGTGGAGGACGTGGACATGGACGTGGACGTTGACGTGGACGTGGACGTGGAGATGGACGTGGACGTGGACGTGGACGTAGACGTAAACTTGGACGTGGACGTGGACGTGGACGTGGACGTGGAAGTGGACATGGACGTGGACGTGGACGTGGACGTGGACATGGTCGTGGACGTGGACGTGGACCTGGTCGTGGACGTGGACGTGGACGTGGACGTGGACATGGACGTGGACATGGACGTGTAGGACGTGGACATGGACGTGGACGTTGACGTGGACGTGGACGTGGAGATGGACGTGGACGTGGACGTGGACGTAAACTTGGACGTGGACGTGGACATGGACGTGGACATGGACGTGGACGTGGACGTGGACTTGGACGTGGACATGGTCGTGGACGTGGACGTGGACGTGGACATGGAGGTGGACGTGGACGTGGACATGGACGTGGACGTGGACGTGGACCTGGACGTGGACGTGGACGTGGTCGTGTACGTGGTCGTGGACGTGGACGTGGACGTGGACGTGGACGTGGACGTGGACGTGGACGTGGTCGTGGACGTGGTCGTGGACGTGGACGTGGACGTGGACGTGGACGTGGACCTGGACGTGGACCTGGACGTGGACGTGGACGTGGACGTGGACGTGGACGTGGACGTGGACGTGGACATGGTCGTGGACGTGGACGTGGACGTGGACGTGGACGTGGACGTGGACGTGGACATGGTCATGGACGTGGACGTGGACGTGGACATGGACGTGGACGTGGACGTGGACATGGACGTGGACGTGGACGTGGACGTGGACATGGACGTGGACGTGTGGACGTGGACGTGGACGTGGACGTGGACGTGGACGTGGACGTGGACGTGGACGTGGACATGGACGTGGACGTGGACGTGGACGTGGACGTGGACGTGGACGTGGACATGGTCGTGGACGTGGACATGGACGTGGACGTGGACGTGGACATGGACGTGGACATGGACGTGGACGTGGACGTGGACGTTGACGTGGACGTGGTCGTGGTCGTGGTCGTGGACGTGGACGTGGACGTGGACGTGGACCTGGACGTGGACGTGGACGTGGACGTGGACGTGGACGTGGACATGGTCGTGGACGTGGACGTGGACGTGGACGTGGACGTGGACATGGTCGTGGACGTGGACGTGGACATGGACGTGGACGTGGACATGGACGTGGACGTGGACGTGGACTTGGACATGGACGTGGACGTGTGGACGTGGACGTGGACGTGGACGTGGACGTGGACGTGGACGTGGACCTGGACGTGGACCTGGACGTGGACGTGGACCTGGACGTGGACATGGACGTGGACGTGGACGTGGACGTGGACGTAGACCTGGTCGTGGACGTGGACGTGGACGTGGACGTGGACGTGGACATGGTCGTGGACGTGGACGTGGACGTGGACGTGGACGTGGACCTGGACGTGGACGTGTGGACGTGGACGTGGACGTGGACGTGGACGTGGACGTGGACGTGGACGTGGACGTGGACGTGGACGTGGACGTGTGGACGTGGACGTGGACGTGGACGCGGACGTGGACGTGGACGCGGACGTGGACGTGGACGTGGACGTGGACGTGGACCTGGACGTGGACGTGGACCTGGTCGCGGACGTGGACCTGGACGTGGACATGGACGTGGACATGGACGTGGACCTGGACATGGTCGTGGACGTGGACGTGGACGTGGACGTGGACGTGGACATGGTCGTGGACGTGGACGTGGACGTGGACATGGACGTGGACGTGGACGTGGACATGGTCGTGGACGTGTGGACGTGGACGTGGACGTGGACGTGGACGTGGACGTGGACGTGGACGTGGACGTGGACGTGGACGTGGTCGTGGACGTGGACGTTGACGTGGACGTGGACGTGGACGTGGTCGTGGACGTGGACGTTGACGTGGACGTGGACGTGGACGTGGACGTGGACGTGGACGTGGACGTGGACGTGGTCGTGGACGTGGACGTGGACGTGGACGTGGACGTGGACGTGGACGTGGTCGTGGACGTGGACGTGGACGTGGACGTGGACGTGGACGTGGACGTGGACGTGGTCGTGGACGTGGACGTTGACGTGGACGTGGACGTGGACGTGGACGTGGACGTGGACGTGGACGTGGACGTGTTGACGTGGACGTGGACCTGGACGTGGTCGTGGACGTGGACGTGGACGTGGACGTGGACGTGGTCGTGGACGTGGTCGTGGACGTGGACGTGGACGTGGACGTGGACCTGGACGTGGACATGGACGTGGACGTGGACGTGGACGTGGAAGTGGACGTGGTCGTGGACGTGGTCGTGGACGTGGTCGTGGACGTGGACGTGGACGTGGACGTGGACATGGTCGTGGACGTGGACGTGGACGTGGACATGGACGTGGACGTGGACGTGGACGTGGACGTGGACATGGTCATGGACGTGGACGTGGACGTGGACATGGACGTGGACGTGGACGTGGACGTGGACATGGACGTGGACGTGGACGTGGACGTGGACATGGACGTGGACGTGTGGACGTGGACGTGGACGTGGACGTGGACGTGGACGTGGACGTGGACGTGGACCTGGACGTGGACGTGGACATGGACGTGGACGTGGACGTGGACATTGACGTGGACGTGGACGTTGACGTGGACGTGGACGTGGTCGTGGTCGTGGACGTGGACCTGGACGTGGACGTGGACCTGGACGTGGACGTGGACGTGGACGTGGACGTGGACGTGGACGTGGACGTGGACGTGGACGTGGACGTGGACGTGGACATGGTCGTGGACGTGGACATGGACGTGGACGTGGACGTGGACATGGACGTGGACGTGGACGTGGACTTGGACATGGACGTGGACGTGTGGACGTGGACGTGGACGTGGACGTGGACGTGTGGACGTGGACGTGGACGTGGACGTGGACGTGGACGTGGACGTGTGGACGCGGACGCGGACGTGGACGTGGACGTGGACGCGGACGTGGTCGTGGACGTGGACGCGGACGTGGACCTGGACGTGGACGTGGACGTGGACCTGGACGTGGACGTGGACCTGGTCGTGGACGTGGACGTGGACGTGGACATGGACGTGGTCGTGGACGTGGACGTTGACGTGGACGTGGACGTGGACGTGGACGTGGTCGTGGACGTGGACGTTGACGTGGACGTGGACGTGGACGTGGTCGTGGACGTGGACGTTGACGTGGACGTGGACGTGGACGTGGACGTGGACGTGGACGTGGACGTGGACGTGGACGTGGACGTGGACGTGGACGTGGACGTGGACGTGGACGTGGTCGTGGACGTGGACGTGGACGTGGACGTGGACGTGGACGTGGACGTGGTCGTGGACGTGGACGTGGACGTGGACGTGGACGTGGACGTGGACGTGGACGTGGTCGTGGACGTGGACGTTGACGTGGACGTGGACGTGGACGTGGACGTGGACGTGGACGTGGACGTGGACGTGTGGACGTGGACGTTGACCTGGACGTGGTCGTGGACGTGGACGTGGACGTGGACGTGGACGTGGTCGTGGACGTGGTCGTGGACGTGGACGTGGACGTGGACGTGGACCTGGACGTGGACATGGACGTGGACGTGGACGTGGACGTGGAAGTGGACGTGGTCGTGGACGTGGTCGTGGACGTGGTCGTGGACGTGGACGTGGACGTGGACGTGGACATGGTCGTGGACGTGGACGTGGACGTGGACATGGACGTGGACGTGGACGTGGACGTGGACGTGGACGTGGTCATGGACGTGGACGTGGACGTGGACGTGGACGTGGACGTGGACATGGACGTGGACGTGGACGTGGACGTGGACATGGACGTGGACGTGTGGACGTGGACGTGGACGTGGACGTGGACGTGGACGTGGACGTGGACGTGGACGTGGACGTGGACGTTGACGTGGACGTGGACGTGGACGTGGACGTGGACGTGGTCGTGGTCGTGGACCTGGACCTGGACGTGGACGTGGACGTGGACATGGACGTGGACGTAGACGTGGACGTGGACGTGGACATGGACGTGGACGTGGAGGACGTGGACGTGGACGTGGACGTGGACGTGGACGTGGACGTGAACGTGGACGTGGACGTGGACGTGGACCTGGACGTGGACGTGGACGTGGACGTGGTCGTGGACGTGGAGGTGGACGTGGACGTGGACGTGGTCGTGGACGTGGACGTGGACGTGGACGTGGACGTGGTCGTGGACGTGGACCTGGACGTGGACGTGGACGTGGACATGGACGTGGACGTAGACGTGGACGTGGACGTGGACATGGACGTGGACGTGGAGGACGTGGACGTGGACGTGGACGTGGACGTGGACGTGGACGTGGACGTGAACGTGGACGTGGACGTGGACGTGGACCTGGACGTGGACGTGGACGTGGACGTGGTCGTGGACGTGGAGGTGGACGTGGACGTGGACGTGGACGTGGACGTGGACGTGGTCGTGGACGTGGTCGTGGACGTGGACGTGGTCGTGGACGTGGACCTGGACCTGGACGTTGACCTGGACCTGGACCTGGACGTTGACATGGTCGTGGACATGGACGTGGACGTGGACGTGGACCTGGACGTGGTCGTGGACGTGGACGTGGACGTGGACGTGGACGTGGACGTGGATGTGGACGTGGTCGTGGTCGTGGACGTGGACGTGGACGTGGGCGTGGACGTGGACGTGGGCGTGGACGTGGATGTGGACGTGGACGTGGACCTGGTCGTGGACGTGGACCTGGACGTGGACGTGGACGTGGACGTGGACGTGGACGTGGACGTGGACGTGGACTTGGACGTGGACGTGGACTTGGACGTGAACATGGACGTGGAGGTGGACGTGAACATGGACGTGGACGTGGACGTGGAAGTGGACGTGGACGTGGACGTGGACGTGGACGTGGACGTGGACGTGGACGTGGACGTAGACATGGACGTGGACGTGGACGTGGACGTGGGCGTGGACGTGGTCGTGGACGTGGACGTGGACATGGTCGTGGACGTGGACGTGGACGTGGACATGGACGTGGACGTGGACGTGGACGTGGACATGGACGTGGACGTGGACGTGGACGTGAACATGGACGTGGAGGTGGACGTGGAGGTGGACGTGGACGTGGACGTGGACGTGGACGTGGACGTGGACGTGGAAGTGGACGTGGACGTGGACGTGGACGTGGACGTGGACGTAGACATGGACGTGGACGTGGACGTGGACGTGGACGTGGACGTGGACGTGGACGTGGACGTGGACATGGACGTGGACATGGACGTTGACGTGGACGTGGACGTGGACGTGGACGTGGAGGACGTGGACCTGGACGTGGACGTGGATGTGGACGTGGACGTGGAGGTGGACATGGAGGTGGACACGGAGGTGGACGTGGACGTGGACGTGGACGTGGACGTGGACCTGGACGTGGACGTGGACCTGGACGTGGACGTGGACGTGGACGTAGACGTGGACGTGGACGTGGACGTGGACGTGGTCGTGGACGTGGTCGTGGACGTGGTCGTGGACGTGGACGTGGACGTGGTCGTGGACGTGGACGTGGACGTGGACCTGGACGTGGACGTGGACGTGGACGTGGACGAGGACTGGACGTGGACGTGGACATGGACGTGGACGTTGACGTTGACATGGACGTGGACGTGGACGTGGACGTGGACGTGGAGGTGGTCGTGGACGTGGACGTGGACGTGGATATGGACGTGGACGTGGACGTGGACGTGGACATGGACGTGGACGTTGACGTAAACGTGGACGTGGACGTGGTCGTGGACGTGGACGTGGACGTGGACGTGGTCGTGGACGTGGACGTGGACGTGGACGTGGACGTGGACGTGGTCGTGGACGTGGTCGTGGACGTGGACGTGGACGTGGACGTGGTCGTGGACGTGGTCGTGGACGTGGACGTGGACGTGGTCGTGGACGTGGTCGTGGACGTGGACGTGGACGTGGACGTGGACGTGGACATGGACGTGGACGTGGACGTGGACGTGGACGTGGACATGGTCGTGGACGTGGACGTGGAAGTGGACGTGGACTGGACGTGGACATGGTCGTGGACGTGGACGTGGACGTGGACATGGACGTGGACGTGGACGTGGACGTGGACATGGACGTGGACGTGTACGTGAACGTGGACATGGACGTGGACATGTGGACGTGGACGTGGACGTGGACGTGGACGTGGACCTGGACGTGGACGTGGACGTGGACGTGGACCTGGACGTGGACATGGACGTGGACGTGGACGTGGACGTGGACGTGGTCGTGGACGTGGACGTGGACGTGGAGGTGGACGTGGACGTGGACGTGGTCGTGGACGTGGTCGTGGACGTGGACGTGGACGTGGACGTGGACGTGGACGTGGACGTGGACATGGACGTGGACGTGTGGACGTGGACATGGACGTGGACGTGGACGTGGACGTGGACGTGGTCGTGGACGTGGTCGTGGACGTGGACGTGGACGTGGACGTGGACGTGGTCGTGGACGTGGACGTGGACGTGGACATGGTCGTGGACGTGGACGTGGACGTGGACGTGGACGTGGACGTGGACATGGTCGTGGACGTGGACGTGGACGTGGACATGGACGTGGACGTGGACGTGGACGTGGACATGGACGTGGACGTGGACGTGGGCGTGGACATGGACGTGGACGTGGACGTGGACATGGACGTGGACGTGTGGACGTGGACGTGGACGTGGACGTGGACGTGGTCGTGGACGTGGTCGTGGACGTGGACGTGGACGTGGACGTGGACGTGGTCGTGGTCGTGGACGTGGTCGTGGACGTGGACGTGGACGTGGACGTGGACCTGGACGTGGACGTGGACATGGACGTGGACGTGGACGTGGACGTGGACGTGGACGTGGACATGCTCGTGATGGACGTGGACGTGGACGTGGACGTGGACGTGTGGACGTGGACGTGGACGTGGACGTGGAGGTGGACGTGGACGTGGACGTGGACGTGGACGTGGACATGGACGTGGACGTGGACGTGGACGTGGACATGGACATGGACGTGGACGTGGACATGGACGTGGACGTGTGGACGTGGATGTGGACGTGGACGTGGACGTGGACGTGGTCGTGGACGTGGTCGTGGACGTGGACGTGGACGTGGACGTGGACGTGGACGTGGACATGGTCGTGGACGTGGACGTGGACGTGGACGTGGACATGGACGTGGTCGTGGACGTGGTCGTGGACGTGGACGTGGACGTGGACGTGGACGTGGACGTGGACGTGGTCGTGGACGTGGTCGTGGACGTGGACGTGGACGTGGACGTGGACGTGGACGTGGACGTGGACATGGACGTGGACGTGGACGTGGACGTGGACGTGGACGTGGACATCGTCGTGGACGTGGACGTGGACGTGGACGTGGACGTGGACGTGGACGTGGACATGGACGTGGACGTGGACATGGTCGTGGACGTGGACGTGGACGTGGACATGGACGTGGACGTGGACGTGGACCTGGACATGGACGTGGACGTGGACGTGGACGTGGACATGGACGTGGACGTGTGGACGTGGACGTGGACGTGGACGTGGACGTGGACCTGGACGTGGACGTGGACGTGGACCTGGTCGTGGACGTGGACGTGGAGACGGACGTGGACGTAGACATGGACGTGGACGTAAACTTGGACGTGGACGTGGACGTGGACGTGGACGTGGACTTGGACATGGTCGTGGACGTGGACGTGGACGTGGACATGGACGTGGAAGTGGACGTGGACATGGACGTGGACGTGGACGTGGAGATGGACGTGGACGTGGACGTGGACGTGGACCTGGACGTGGACGTGGACGTGGACGTGGACGTGGACGTGGACGTGGACCTGGACGTGGACGTGGACCTGGACGTGGACGTGGACGTGGTCATGGACGTGGTCGTCGACGTGGACGTGGACGTGGACGTGGATGTGGACGTGGACGTGTGGACGTGGACGTGGACGTGGACGTGGTCGTGGACGTGGTCGTGGACGTGGTTGTGGACGTGGACGTGTACGTGGACGTGGACGTGGACGTGGACGTGGACGTGGTCGTGGACGTGGTCGTGGACGTGGACGTGGACGTGGGCGTGGACGTGGACGTGGACGTGGACCTGGAGATGGACGTGGACGTGGACGTGGACGTGGACGTGGACGTGGACGTGGACATGATCGTGGACGTGGACGTGGACGTGGACGTGGACGTGGACTTGGACATGGTCGTGGACGTGGACGTGGACGTGGACATGGACGTGGACATGGACGTGGACGTGGACGTGGACGTGGACATGGACGTGGACGTGTGGACGTGGACGTGGACGTGGACGTGGACCTGGACGTGGACGTAGACGTGGACGTGGACCTGGACGTGGACGTGGACGTGGACCTGGTCGTGGACGTGGACGTGGACGTGGACGTGGACATGGACGTGGAGGACGTGGACATGGACGTGGACGTTGACGTGGACGTGGACGTGGAGATGGACGTGGACGTGGACGTGGACGTAGACGTAAACTTGGACGTGGACGTGAACGTGGACGTGGACGTGGAAGTGGACATGGACGTGGACGTGGACGTGGACGTGGACGTGGACATGGTCGTGGACGTGGACGTGGACCTGGTCGTGGACGTGGACGTGGACGTGGACGTGGACATGGACGTGGACATGGACGTGTAGGACGTGGACATGGACGTGGACGTTGACGTGGACGTGGACGTGGAGATGGACGTGGACGTGGACGTGGACGTAAACTTGGACGTGGACGTGGACATGGACGTGGACGTGGACGTGGACTTGGACGTGGACATGGTCGTGGACGTGGACGTGGACGTGGACATGGATGTGGACGTGGACGTGGACATGGACGTGGACGTGGACGTGGACATGGACGTGGACGTGGACGTGGACGTGGACGTGGTCGTGGACGTGGTTGTGGACGTGGTCGTGGACGTGGACGTGGACGTGGACGTGGACGTGGTCGTGGACGTGGACGTGGACGTGGACGTGGACCTGGACGTGGACCTGGACGTGGACGTGGACGTGGACGTGGACGTGGACGTGGACGTGGACGTGGACATGGTCGTGGACGTGGACGTGGACGTGGACGTGGACGTGGACGTGGACGTGGACATGGTCATGGACGTGGACGTGGACGTGGACATGGACGTGGACGTGGACGTGGACGTGGACATGGACGTGGACGTGGACGTGGACGTGGACATGGACGTGGACGTGTGGACGTGGACGTGGACGTGGACGTGGACGTGGACGTGGACGTGGACGTGGACCTGGACGTGGACGTGGACATGGACGTGGACGTGGACGTGGACGTTGACGTGGACGTGGTCGTGGTCGTGGTCGTGGACGTGGACGTGGACGTGGACGTGGACGTGGACCTGGACGTGGACGTGGACGTGGACGTGGACGTGGACATGGTCGTGGACGTGGACGTGGACGTGGACGTGGACATGGTCGTGGACGTGGACGTGGACATGGACGTGGACGTGGACATGGACGTGGACGTGGACGTGGACTTGGACATGGACGTGGACGTGTGGACGTGGACGTGGACGTGGACGTGGACGTGGACGTGGACCTGGACGTGGACCTGGACGTGGACGTGGACCTGGACGTGGACATGGACGTGGACGTGGACGTGGACGTGGACATGGTCGTGGACGTGGACGTGGACGTGGACGTGGACGTGGACGTGGACATGGTCGCGGACGTGGACGTGGACGTGGACGTGGACGTGGACCTGGACGTGGACGTGTGGACGTGGACGTGGACGTGGACGTGGACGTGGACGTGGACGTGTGGACGTGGACGTGGACGTGGACGTGGACGTGGACGTGGACGTGGACGTGGACGTGGACGCGGACGTGGACATGGACGCGGACGTGGACATGGTCGTGGACGTGGACGTGAACGTGGACGTGGACGTGGACATGGTCGTGGACGTGGACGTGGACGTGGACATGGACGTGGACGTGGACGTGGACGTGGACATGGACGTGGACGTGTGGACGTGGACGTGGACGTGGACGTGGACGTGGTCGTGGACGTGGACGTGGACGTGGACGTGGACGTGGTCGTGGACGTTGACGTGGACGTGGACGTGGACGTGGACGTGGTCGTGGACGTTGACGTGGTCGTGGACGTGGACGTGGACGTGGACGTGGACGTGGACGTGGACGTGGACGTGGACGTGGACGTGGACGTGGACATGGACGTGGACGTGGTCGTGGACGTGGACGTGGACGTGGACGTGGACGTGGACGTGGACGTGGTCGTGGACGTGGACGTGGACGTGGACGTGGACGTGGACGTGGACGTGGACGTGGTCGTGGACGTGGACGTTGACGTGGACGTGGACGTGGACGTGGACGTGGACGTGGACGTGGACGTGGACGTGGACGTGGACCTGGACGTGGACGTGGACGTGGACGTGGACCTGGACGTGGACCTGGACGTGGACGCGGACCTGGTCGTGGACGTGGACGTGGACGTGGACGTGGACGTGGACATGGTCGCGGACGTGGACGTGGACGTGGACGTGGACGTGGACCAGGTCGTGGACGCGTGGACGTGGACGTGGACGTGGACGTGGACGTGGACGTGGACGTGTGGACGTGGACGTGGACGTGGACGTGGACGTGGACGGGGACGTGTGGACGTGGACGTGGACGTGGACGTGGACGTGGACGGGGACGTGGACGTGGACGCGGATGTGGACATGGACGCGGACGTGGACATGGTCGTGGACGTGGACGTGGACGTGGACGTGGACGTGGACATGGTCGTGGACGTGGACGTGGACGTGGACATGGACGTGGACGTGGACGTGGACGTGGACATGGACGTGGACGTGTGGACGTGGACGTGGACGTGGACGTGGACGTGGTCGTGGACGTGGACGTGGACGTGGACGTGGTCGTGGACGTTGACGTGGACGTGGACGTGGACGTGGACGTGGTCGTGGACGTTGACGTGGTCGTGGACGTGGACGTGGACGTGGACGTGGACGTGGACGTGGACGTGGACGTGGACGTGGACGTGGACATGGACGTGGACGTGGTCGTGGACGTGGACGTGGACGTGGACGTGGACGTGGACGTGGACGTGGTCGTGGACGTGGACGTGGACGTGGACGTGGACGTGGACGTGGACGTGGACGTGGTCGTGGACGTGGACGTTGACGTGGACGTGGACGTGGACGTGGACGTGGACGTGGACGTGGACGTGGACGTGGACGTGGACGTGGACGTGGACGTGGACGTGGACGTGGACCTGGACGTGGACGTGGACGTGGACGTGGACGTGGACGTGGACGTGGACATGGTCGTGGACGTGGACGTGGACGTGGACGTGGACGTGGACGTGGACCTGGACGTGGACATGGACGTGGACGTGGACGTGGACGTGGACATGGTCGTGGACGTGGACGTGGACGTGGACGTGGACGTGGACGTGGACGTGGACATGGTCGTGGACGTGGACGTGGACATGGACGTGGACGTGGACGTGGACGTGGACATGGACGTAGATGTGGACGTGGACATGGACGTGGACGTGTGGACGTGGACGTGGACGTGGACGTGGACGTGGACGTGGACGTGGACGTGGACATGGACGTGGACGTGGACGTGGACGTGGACATGGACGTGGACGTGGACGTGGACGTGGACGTGGACATGGTCGTGGACGTGGACGTGGACGTGGACGTGGACATGGTCGTGGACGTGGACGTGGACGTGGACATGGACGTGGACGTGGACGTGGACGTGGACGTGGACATGGTCGTGGACGTGGACGTTGTTATAGTCACAGTAGCTCCAATGTGCCTAAAACGAAAGATAGAGTGCACAGTCGGATTTCTGCACAGCGGCTTCAAACGTTCATAGCGTTCTGGTGACAGCTTCAAATTACTTGATTCAACTTGGATCTGGAGCGTCTTATTGTCGCCTACAATAGGCAATTTAGATCGCACGATTTGACCAAGTATTGACGACACAGTGTCGGTTTGAACGAACGGCACTATGGCAGCCACTATAGTCTTAGAACACAAAATAGGAAGAGATCTGAAGAGTTACGAGTTGGGAATGACTCCCAGCTCCTACAAACCCCAAGAGCCGAGGTACAGTGATGTGGAACAGTGCCACACTGTCCCCAACCACGAAGGGTCTCGAAACTACCCTTCACTAGGGCCTACACCAAGTGAAATGTTACACTACACAAAGTAATGTAACTATCTTCAATATCTTGAGGTGTACCCTTTTGGCGAGCTTTGAAATCACTTGAGGCTTGACACCAAGGCTCGGGCTCTTCATCACAAACTCATCCTTGAGTTCTTGATGGTTCTGCTGCACACACCTGCGACACACCGAACGTTCGACACAGGACAAAATAGAAACCGCGCACGACAAAATAGAAACCGCGCGCGAGACACAAACGACCGCGTAACACGCGTCTAGCGATAACTCGCTATTGACCCGACACATACACTCGACATCATGACTCAACATTCACACACAATTATAAGCATGAAATATATATTATCCCATGCCCTCATACCATTCCATACACACACACACACATGCACGCACACGGACAACAAGCCGAGTGCAAACCATAGGGTTGCACCAACAAACTCCCCCTCGGATTGTTGGCCTTCGGATATGTTGCTCTCTCAGTTCAGAGCCATCCCAGCCAGCTTGCAACACTTCCAATGCTGCTGCTCCACCAGCCTCTTGGTCATCATGTCAGCCGGCTGCCCCGTGGTTTTCACGTAGCGCAACTCAACTTCACCCGCGGTTACCATGCTCCTCGTCCAATGCCACTTCACCCTCATGTGCTTCGTGAGTCCATGCAACACAGGGTTCTTAGCAAGAGCAATGGCACCCTGGCTGTCACAATATAGTGGGGTAGGTCCTTGCTGCTCCTCCCCCAATTCAGCCAACAAACGCCGCTGCCACACAATCTCCCGTACGGCACGGAAGAGTGCCATGTACTCGGACTCCACCGAGCTCAAAGCTTGGTCAACCTGCTTCTTGCTCTCCCAAGCAGTTGGGCCTCCACCAACACAGCATATGAAGCCTCCCACACTTGTCATGTCCTCTGGTTCTGATGCATATGAAGCATCCGAGTAGGCGGTGAGGAACAAACGCCCGGGTTCAACACCATCCGCGCCCTTTTGGCGCCTTTGTGCCGCCGCCGAGTATTGCAGCCCAACGGTCGGTGTTTGGCCAAGGTACTTGGCCACCCTCATTCCAGCTGCTACCTGCTCCTCATTAGGGCATTGCACAACCCTAGCCAGCTGCCCGGTAGCAAACGCGACGTCCGGTCGGGTGTTTACCGCCGCATACATGAGGCTGCCCACCAACGAGTGAAATCGGCGCCTCTCCTCTTCTCCAACGCTCTCCTCCTCTGGCCCCTTCACACACTTGAACCCAGAGGGAAAGGGAGTAGCCACATGACCTTCACTCTGGCCAAAGTTGGCAGCCAACGCCTCCAGGTACTTCCGTTGGTGCACTCGCATGCTCCGCTTCTCCACGTCTCGTTCGATGTGGAGCCCAAGGTAGAAGTTCACGTCACCAAGGGACTTGCACTTAAACTTGTCATGCAGCTTCAGCATCACCTCCTTCACAAGGTCAGAGGAGGGTGAGAATATGAGAATGTCATCCACATAAACCACCATGAAGCTCCTCTGTTCCCCCTCGCCAAGCATGAACAAGGAGTGATCGGCCGTTGAGGGAGTGAAGCCGATCTCCTCCAACACTTCGCGCAGCTTCATGTACCATTGCCTAGGGGCCTGCTTCAGCCCATAGAGGGCCTTCTTCAGCTTCCACACTCTGCCACTACCATCATCAAACCCCTCTGGCTGCGCCATAAAAATCTCCTCCTCAAGGATGCCGTTGAGGAATGCCGTCACAATGTCCATTTGCTTCACCACCCATCCTTTGATGGCGGCTCCCGCGAATAGGGTTCGCAGCGTCGTCGGCTTCACCACAGGGGCAAACAGCTCCTTGAAGTCCACCTTCTCCTTCTGCTGGTACCCCTTGGCTACAAGCCTAGACTTGTAACGCTCGATCTTGCCGTCGGCATCCGACTTGATTTTGAAGAGCCACTTGGACGTTATCGCCGTACGCCCCTCCGGTAGCTCCACCAATTCAAACGTGTCATTCTCCTCGATGCTCTTCAGCTCACTCTCCATGGCCTTCTTCCACTCCTCAGCATCACTACTCTCCAAAGCCTCCTTGAGAGTTGCTGGTTCTCCTGGCATCTCCACCGGAGAGAAGAACGCGAAGGCACACTCCTCGTAGTCACTCTCCTCGTCGTCTCCGACCATCATTGCCGCTCCGGCCAGGGCTGTCTTGCCTTGCTTTCCAAGTGCATCATAGGTCAGCCTATTAGGGGGTTGAACTCTCCTCTTCCCCCTTCCTTCCTCCTCAGCTGCAGGGACTTGAAGGCCTTGGCGTTGCTGCGGTGTGGCTCGATTCCGTGGAGCACTCGTGGTACGGGAAGGGAGTGACGGTGCACGCTCGCTCACTTGCTGCACCTCCTCCTCTTCTTCCTCTGCATCAGTGGCCTCCTCTCCCCCATTCACAAGGGAGGATTGCCTCGTGGTTGTGCTGCCGCTGTTCAGCTCCAAAGGCAGCTCCACATGCTCCAAACCGGAACTCTTCACCTCCCCAAACCGCACGCCTATCTTCGCCTCATTCTCCGCCTTCCAATCCTTGTACATGAAGTTCTCCATGAACTTGCAGTCCCTGCTCACCAAGAACTTCTTGGTGAATGGGTCCCAAAGAAGCCATCCCTTGCTGTTTTGAGCCATGCCCAAGTGCACGGCCCACACCGCCTTGGCACCAAGCTTGTTGTGCCGAAGATGCTTAGGCACAAGCGCCATGCACATGCACCCGAACACCCGAAGCATATCCACCTTTGGCTTCCTTCCTAGCCACTCCACATAGGGCACCCATTTGTCTGCTCCCACATGAGTCAAGGCTCTGTTCTTGGCCACACATGCGCTCCGCACCGCATCAGGCCAGAAATAGTCGGGTAGCCCGGCTTCAATGAGCAACCCGCGTGCCGCCTCCGTGATTGTGCGGTTCGCTCGCTCGGCGATGCCATTCATTGCAGGGGAGTATGGCATGGTGAGGGAGTGCCGAATACCATTCTTCTTCAGCCACAACCCAAACTCCTTGCTCAGGAACTCTCCCCCTCGATCGGTGCGGATTGACTTGACTAGACGGTCTTGTTGCCGCTCCACCATCGGGAACCAATCCGCCTTCAACGTTTCAGCCACGTCACTCTTCTTGGCCAGCACGTACACCCAAGTCATGCGGGTGTAGACGTCAACAATGGTGAGAAAATACTCAGCTCCAGCAGCTCCAAGCTTCAGGGGGCCCACCACGTCCATCACCACCTCATCAAGTGGTGCCTTTGCCGTTGCCTCCGAACTAGAGAACGGAAACCGGGTGAACTTGGCTTGAATGCACGTCGGGCAGCCAAGCACCTCATCGGGCTCCCCCTTCACACGTATGCCAGCAACCATCTCATTCTTCACTAGCTGCTGCAAGATAGGCAGGGCCACATGCCCCATGCGCCGATGCAAGGTGAGCCAATCACACTCCCCCGTAGCCGAAGTTGGATTGGAGAATGCCGCGCTCGCAATATCGCCCCACATACTCTCTCCGTAGTCCTCCTCCGCTGCTGCCCCGGGGATCTCCTCACCCTTTTGCTGCTCCTTGGCTGCTGCACCACTCTCCTTAGGTTCACTGAACTTGCTGGTCCCTCCAGGTTTGCTCTTCTTGAGCTCATTCTCCTTAGCGCGACCGTTCGCGCCATCGTCGCTACCGACCACTCCATCCTTGGTGCTGATGCTTGCTGCCACTTGCCTCTCCTTAGGCATTGGGACCACAGGGATCTGCCACATCTCGTTGTAGACATCTCTGTCCTCATGAAGGTCCCAAAGAATCCGATCGCCAAGCCTTGCGGTGTAGGTCTTGGCTCCCTTCGAGTTAGTGTCCATGCCGGCCTTTGCCAACCGCCGCACGGAAATCAGGTTCGCAGCAAGGCTGGGCACCCAAAGCACGTTCTTGAGGCCCACCATCTTCCCATCAGCACCCTTGAACATGGCCTTCCCCATGCCTTTCACCTCTGCTCGCTGCCCCAAAGCCGATGTGACATGCTTCACCGGTGACGGCTCGAGTTCGGTGAGCAAGTCCGGGCGAGGTGTCATGCTATAGGTAGCGCCACTATCAATCACCCAATAGTCCAGGGGGTGTAGGGTCACCTTCCCCACAGCTGCTGGCTCCTCAAAGCCTTCATCCTTCTCTGGACCAGCCGGTACTTGCGTCGACACGAAGTAGAATAGACCCGGGTATCGATCGTCGCTCGGGTCCTTGTCGTTGTCTCCGCTCTTCATGTTTGCAGCTCCGCCACCGCGACCGCCACGGCCTCCACGGCCTCTTCCTCTCCCTCCTCCTGCTCCTCTACCCTCTTGGCCTTGAGCAGGGGTCCAACCATCAGGGAGTTTGTAGCAGTCGCGCCACATGTGTCCGCTCTTGTGGCAATAGTGACACTCGCCGTCGAATCGGCCGCGACCACGTCCGTAGTTCTTCTCGTCGCTGCCGTAACCGCCACTCCCGCGGCCTCCGCTGAAGTTGCTGCCACCAAACCTTCCTCCCCCTCGTCCTCTGCCTCTTCCTCGACCATATCCACGGCCGATGCTCGCTGCCCCAGCACCATCCGCACTCGCCAACTCACGGCGGCGGAAATCCTCTTGAAGGATAGCTCGCTTCACGTCTTCAAGCGAGAGGCGGGGCAAGTCGCGATTAAGGTTGATGATGAGCGAGGACCATGACTCCGGGAGTAGGGCCAGCAACTTGGTCTTCTTTTGGAGCTCACTATAGTTCAAATCAGCTCCCTCAAGCCGCGTCAACAAGTCGAAGAATTTCTGCACCCCTTCTTCAACCGCTTCATCCTCTTCAATTCGTAACGTCGCCATTTGCCGTTCCAACACCACAGCTACCGCCGCTGTTGCAGGAGCGTGTACACCCTTGAGAGCAGCCCATGCTTTTGGTCCCTTCTCTGGTTCACGCTGGAAAGGCTTGATGTGACGGATTTGGCTGCTCCCCAACGCTTGCCCAAGTAGGAGGTAGCCTTGTGCGCTCTTCCGCACCCACGGGCTCTTCTCCGGGTCGTTCTCGGGACGCTTCTCCGTTCCTTCCATCACCTCCAGCAGGTCATAGTGGTCAAATATGTTCTCCATTCTGAAGGACCACTCAGCAAAGTTGTCACCATTGAACTTGTCAAGGCCAAACACTCTAGGCTCATCCCTAGATGGGCCAACACTTGGTTGCACGGGCGCCATGGCTGAGTCACGGGGTTGGCCTTGAGCTTGGGCTTCTCCTCTGCCACCAGCACCTCTGCCACCCCTTTCCTCAGGTCCAGCCATTGTCGAAACTGCTCCAAGGGGCTCTGATACCACTTGTTATAGTCACAGTAGGCTCCAATGTGCCTAAAACGAAAGATAGAGTGCACAGTCGGATTTCTGCACAGCGGCTTCAAACGTTCATAGCGTTCTGGTGACAGCTTCAAATTACTTGATTCAACTTGGATCTGGAGCGTCTTATTGTCGCCTACAATAGGCAATTTAGATCGCACGATTTGACCAAGTATTGACGACACAATGTCGGTTTGAACGAACGGCACTATGGCAGCCACTATAGTCTTAGAACACAAAATAGGAAGAGATCTGAAGAGTTACGAGTTGGGAATGACTCCCAGCTCCTACAAACCCCAAGAGCCGAGGTACAGTGATGTGGAACAGTGCCACACTGTCCCCAACCACGAAGGGTCTCGAAACTACCCTTCACTAGGGCCTACACCAAGTGAAATGTTACACTACACAAAGTAATGTAACTATCTTCAATATCTTGAGGTGTACCCTTTTGGCGAGCTTTGAAATCACTTGAGGCTTGACACCAAGGCTCGGGCTCTTCATCACAAACTCATCCTTGAGTTCTTGATGGTTCTGCTGCACACACCTGCGACACACCGAACGTTCGACACAGGACAAAATAGAAACCGCGCACGACAAAATAGAAACCGCGCGCGAGACACAAACGACCGCGTAACACGCGTCTAGCGATAACTCGCTATTGACCCGACACATACACTCGACATCATGACTCAACATTCACACACAATTATAAGCATGAAATATATATTATCCCATGCCCTCATACCATTCCATACACACACACACACATGCACGCACACGGACAACAAGCCGAGTGCAAACCATAGGGTTGCACCAACAGACGTGGACATGGACGTGGACGTGGACGTGGACATGGACGTGGACGTGGACGTGGACGTGGACGTGGACGTGGTCGTGGACGTGGACGTGGACGTGGACGTGGATGTGGACGTGGACGTGGTCGTGGTCGTGGACGTGGTCCTGGACGTGGACGTGGACGTGGACGTGGTCGTGGTCGTGGACGTGGACGTGGACGTGGACGTGGACGTGGACGTGAACGTGGACGTGGACGTGGACGTGGACGTGGACGTGGACGTGGACGTGGACATGGTCGTGGACGTGGACGTGGACGTGGACGTGGACATGGTCGTGGACGTGGACGTGGACATGGACGTGGACGTGGACGTGGACATGGACGTGGAAGTGGACGTGGACGTGGACATGGACGTGGACGTGTGGACGTGGACGTGGACGTGGACGTGGACGTGGACCTGGACGTGGACATGGACGTGGACGTGGACGTGGACATGGACGTGGACGTGGACGTGGACGTGGACGTGGACGTGGACGTGGACGTGGACGTGGACGTGGACGTGGACATGGAGGTGGACATAGACGTGGAGGTGGACATGGAGGTGGACGTGGACGTGGAGGTGGACGTGGACGTGGACGTGGACGTGGACGTGGACGTGGACGTGGACGTGGACGGGACGTGGACGTGGACGTGGACGTGGACGTGGACGTGGACGTGGACGTGGACGTGGACGTGGACGTAGACGTACGTGGACCTGGACGTGGACGTGGACGTGGACGTGGACGGGACGTGGACGTGGACGTGGACGTGGACGTGGACGTGGACGTGGACGTGGACATGGACGTGGGCATGGACGTGGAGGTGGACATGGAGGTGGACGTGGACGTGGACGGGGACATGGACTTGGACATAGACGTTGACGTGGACGTGGACGTGGACGTGGACGTGGACGTGGACATGGACGTGGACGTGGACGTGGACGTGGACATGGACGTGGACGTGGACCTGGACGTGGACATGGATGTGGACATGGACGTGGACATGGACGTGGACATGGACGTGGACATGGACGTAGACGTGGACGTGGACGTGGACGTGGACGTGGACGTAGACGTGGACGTGGACGTAGACGTGGACGTGGACGTGGACGTGGACGTGGACCTGGACGTGGACGTGGACGTGGACATGGACCTGGACGTGGACGTGGACGTGGACGTGGACCTGGACGTGGACGTGGACATGGAGGTGGACATGGACGTGGACGTGGACATGGAGGTGGACATGGACGTGGAGGTGGACATGGAGGTGGACGTGGACGTGGAGGTGGACGTGGACGTGGACGTGGACGTAGACGTGGACGTGGACGTGGACGTGGACGTGGACGTGGACGTAGACGTGGACATGGACGTAGACGTGGACGTGGACGTGGACGTGGACGTGGACGTGGACGTGGACATGGACGTGGACGTGGACGTGGACGTGGACGTGGATTTGGACGTGGACATGGACGTGGACATGGATGTGGACATGGACGTGGACGTCGACGTGGACGTGGACGTGGACGTGGACGTGGACGTGCACGTGGACGTGTACGTGGACGTTGACGTGGACGTGGACCTGGTCGTGGTCGTGGACGTGGACGTGGACCTGGACGTGGACGTGGACATGGACGTGGACGTGGACGTGGACGTGGACGTGGACGTGAACATGGTCGTGGTCGTGGACGTGGACGTGGACGTGGACGTGGACATGGACGTGGACGTGGACGTGGACGTGGACGTGGACGTGGATGTGGACGTGGACGTGGACGTGGACGTAGACGTAGACGTGGATGTGGACGTGGACGTGGACATGGTATTGGACGTGGACGTGGACGTGGACGTGGACGTTGACGTGGACGTGGACGTGGACGTGGACCTGGACGTGGACCTGGACGTGGACGTGGACGTGGACGTCGTGGTCGTGGACATGGACGTGGACGTCGACGTGGACATGGACGTGGAGGACTTGGACGTGGACATGGACGTGGACGTGGAGGACTTGGACAGAGACGTGGACGTGGACGTGGACGTGGACGTGGACGTGGACGTGGACATGGACGTGGACGTGGAGGACTTGGACGTGGACATGGACGTGGACGTGGACATGGACGTGGACATGGACATGGACGTGGACGTGGACATGGACGTGGACGTGGACGTGGACGTGGACGTTGACGTGGACATGGACGTGGACTTGGACGTGGACGTGGACGTGGACTTGGACGTGGACGTGGACGTGGACGTGGACGTAGACGTGGACGTGGACGTGGACGTGGACGTGGACGTGGACGTAGACGTGGACGTAGACGTGGACATGGACGTAGACGTGGACGTGGACGTGGACGTGGACGTGGACATGGACGTGGACGTGGACGTGGACATGGACGTGTACATGGACTTGGACGTGGACATGGACGTGGACGTGGACATGGACGCGGACATGGACGTGGACGACGACGTGGACGTGGTCGTCCACGACGTGGACTTGGACGTGGACGTGGTCTTGGACGTGGACGTGGACATGGACGTGGTCGTGGTCCTGGACGTGGACGTGGTCGTGGACGTGGACGTGGACATGGACGTGGAGGATGTGGACGTGGACGTGGACGTGGTCGTGGACGTGGACGTTGACGTGGACGCGGACGTGGACGTGGACATGGACGTGGACGTGGACGTGGTCGTGGACGTGGACGTGGACGTGGACGTGGACATGGACGTGGACGTGGACGTGGACGTGGACGTGGACATGGACGTGGACATGGTCGTGGACGTGGACATGGACGTGGACGTGGACGTGGATTTGGACGTGGACATGGACGTGGACATGGACGTGGACATGGACGTGGACGTCGACGTGGACGTGGACGTGGACGTGGACGTGGACGTGGACGTGCACGTGGACGTGGACGTGGACGTTGACGTGGACGTGGACCTGGTCGTGGTCGTGGACGTGGACGTGGACCTGGACGTGGACGTGGACATGGACGTGGACGTGGACGTGGACGTGGACGTGGACGTGAACATGGTCGTGGTCGTGGACGTGGACGTGGACGTGGACGTGGACATGGACGTGGACGTGGACGTGGACGTGGACGTGGACGTGGACGTGGACGTGGACGTGGACGTGGACGTAGACGTAGACGTGGATGTGGACGTGGACGTGGACATGGTATTGGACGTGGACGTGGACGTGGACGTGGACCGTGGACGTTGACGTGGACGTGGACGTGGACGTGGACCTGGACGTGGACCTGGACGTGGACGTGGACGTGGACGTCGTGGTCGTGGACATGGACGTGGACCTCGACGTGGACATGGACGTGGAGGACTTGGACGTGGACATGGACGTGGACGTGGAGGACTTGGACAGAGACGTGGACGTGGACGTGGACGTGGACGTGGACGTGGACGTGGACATGGACGTGGACGTGGAGGACTTGGACGTGGACATGGACGTGGACGTGGACATGGACGTGGACATGGACATGGACGTGGACGTGGACATGGACGTGGACGTGGAAGTGGACGTGGACGTTGACGTGGACATGGACGTGGACTTGGACGTGGACGTGGACGTGGACTTGGACGTGGACGTGGATGTGGACGTGGACGTGGACATGGACGTGGACGTGGACGTGGATGTGGATGTGGACATGGACGTGGACGTGGACGTGGACATGGACGTGGACGTGCACGTGGACGTGGACGTGCACGTGGACGTGGACGTGGACGTGGACGTGGACGTGGAATGGACATGGACGTGGACGTGGAGGACTTGGACGTGGACATGGACGTGGACGTGGACGTGGACATGGACGTGGACATGGACCTGGACGTGGACGTGGACGTGGACCTGGACGTGGATGTGGACGTGGACCTGAACGTGGACGTGGATGTGGACGTGGACGTGGACGTGGACGTGGACGTAGACGTGGACGTGGACGTGGACATGGACACGGACGTGGACGTGGACATGGACACGGACGTGGACGTGGACGTGGACGTGGACATGGACGTGGACGTGGACGTGGAGGACATGGACGTGGACATGGACGTGGACGGGGACGTGGACGTGGACGTGGACGTGGACATGGATGTGGACGTGGACGTGGACATGGACGCGGATATCGACGTGGACGTGGACATGGACGTGGACATGGACGTGGACGTGGACATGGACGTGGACGTGGACGTGGACGTAGACATGGACGTGGACGTCGACGTGGACGTGGACGTGGACATGGACGTGGACGTGGACGTGGACGTTGACGTGGACGTGGACGTGAACATGGACGTGGACATGGACGTGGACGTGGACATGGACGTGGACGTGGACGTGGACAAGGACGTGGACGTGGACGTGGACATGGACGTGGACATGGACGTAGACGTGGACGTGGACATGGACGTGGACGTGGACGTGGAGGACACGGACGTGGACATGGACGTGGACGTGGACGTGGACATGGACATGGACGCGGACGTGGACATGGACGTGGACGTGGACGTGGACATGGACGTGGAGGATGTGGACGTGGACGTGGACGGGGTCGTGGACGTGGACGTTGACGTGGACGCGGACGTGGACGTGGACATGGACGTGGACGTGGTCGTGGACGTGGACGTGGACGTGGACGTGGACGTGGACATGGACGTGGACGTGGACGTGGACGTGGACGTGGACATGGACGTGGACATGGTCGTGGACGTGGACATGGACGTGGACGTGGACGTGGATTTGGACGTGGACATGGACGTGGACATGGATGTGGACATGGACGTGGACGTCGACGTGGACGTGGACGTGGACGTGGACGTGGACGTGCACGTGGACGTGGACGTGGACGTTGACGTGGACGTGGACCTGGTCGTGGTCGTGGACGTGGACGTGGACCTGGACGTGGACGTGGACATGCACGTGGACGTGAACGTGGACGTGGACGTGGACGTGAACATGGTCGTGGTCGTGGACGTGGACGTGGACGTGGACGTGGACATGGACGTGGACGTGGACGTGGACGTGGACGTGGACGTGGATGTGGACGTGGACGTGGACGTGGACGTAGACGTAGACGTGGATGTGGACGTGGACGTGGACATGGTATTGGACGTGGACGTGGACGTGGACGTGGACGTGGACGTTGACGTGGACGTGGACGTGGACGTGGACCTGGACGTGGACCTGGACGTGGACGTGGACGTGGACGTCGTGGTCGTGGACATGGACGTGGACGTCGACGTGGACATGGACGTGGAGGACTTGGACGTGGACATGGACGTGGACGTGGAGGACTTGGACAGAGACGTGGACGTGGACGTGGACGTGGACGTGGACATGGACATGGACGTGGAGGACTTGGACGTGGACATGGACGTGGACGTGGACATGGACGTGGACATGGACATGGACGTGGACGTGGACATGGACGTGGACGTGGACGTGGACGTGGACGTTGACGTGGACATGGACGTGGACTTGGACGTGGACGTGGACGTGGACTTGGACGTGGACGTGGATGTGGACGTGGACGTGGACATGGACGTGCACGTGGACGTGGATGTGGATGTGGACATGGACGTGGACGTGGACGTGGACATGGACGTGGACGTGCACGTGGACGTGGACGTGCACGTGGACGTGGACGTGGACGTGGACGTGGACGTGGAATGGACATGGACGTGGACGTGGACGTGGAGGACTTGGACGTGGACATGGACGTGGACGTGGACGTGGACATGGACGTGGACATGGACCTGGACGTGGACGTGGACGTGGACCTGGACGTGGATGTGGACGTGGACCTGAACGTGGACGTGGATGTGGACGTGGACGTGGACGTGGACGTGGACGTAGACGTGGACGTGGACGTGGACGTGGACATGGACGTGGACGTGCACGTGGACGTGGACACGGACGTGGACGTGGACGTGGACGTGGACATGGACGTGGACGTGGACGTGGAGGACATGGACGTGGACATGGACGTGGACGGGGACGTGGACGTGGACGTGGACGTGGACATGGATGTGGACGTGGACGTGGACATGGACGCGGATATCGACGTGGACGTGGACATGGACGTGGACATGGACGTGGACGTGGACATGGACGTGGACATGGACGTGGACGTAGACATGGACGTGGACGTCGACGTGGACGTGGACGTGGACATGGACGTGGACGTGGACGTGGACGTTGACGTGGACGTGGACGTGAACATGGACGTGGACATGGACGTGGACGTGGACATGGACCTGGACGTGGACGTGGACAAGGACGTGGACGTGGACGTGGACATGGACGTGGACATGGACGTAGACGTGGACGTGGACATGGACGTGGACGTGGACGTGGAGGACATGGACGTGGACATGGACGTGGACGTGGACGTGGACATGGATGTGAACGTGGACGTGGACGTGGACATGGACGCGGACATCGACGTGGACGTAGACATGGACGTGGACATGGACGTGGACGTGGACATGGACGTGGACGTGGACGTGGACATGGACGTGGACGTGGACGTGGAGGACTTGGATGTGGACATGGACGTCGACGTGGACGTGGACGTGGACGTGGACGTGGACATGGACGTGGACGTGGACGTGGATGTGGACATGGACGTGGACCTGGACGTGGACATGGACGTGGACGTGGACATGGACGTGGACATGGACATGGACGTGGACGTGGACTGGACGTGGACATGGACGTGGACGTGGACGTGGACATGGACGTGGACGTGGACGTGGAGGACATGGACGTGGACATGGACGTGGACATTGACGTGGACATGGACATGGACATGGACGTGGACGTGGACGTGGACATGGACGTGGACGTGGACGTGGACGTGGACATGGACACGGACGTGGACGTGGACATGGACCTGGACATGGACGTGGACGTGGACGTGGACCTGGACATGGACGTGGACGTGGACGTGGAGGACATGGACGTGGACATGGACGTGGACGTGGACGTGGACGTGGACATGGATGTGGACGTGGACGTGGACATGGACGCGGACATCGACGTGGACGTGGACATGGACGTGGACATGGACGTGGACGTGGACATGGACGTGGACGTGGACGTAGACATGGACGTGGACGTGGACGTGGACCTGGACGTGGACGTGGACGTGGACGTGGACATGGACGTGGACGTGGACGTGGACGTGGACGTGGACATGGACGTGGACGTGGACGTGGAGGACATGGACGTTGACATGGACGTGGACGTGGACGTGGACATGGACGTGGACGTGGACGTGGACATGGACGTTGACGTGGACGTGGACGTGGACGTGGACATGGACGTGGACGTGGACGTGGACGTGGACATGGACGTTGACGTGGACGTGGACGTGGACGTGGACATGGACGTGGACGTGGACGTGGAGGACATGGACGTGGACATGGACGTTGACGTGGACGTGGACGTGGACGTGGACATGGATGTGGACGTGGACGTGGACATGGATGCGGACATCGACGTGGACGTGGACATGGACGTGGACATGGACGTGGACGTGGACATGGACGTGGACGTGGACGTAGACATGGACGTGGACGTGGACGTGGAGGACTTGGATGTGGACATGGACGTGGACGTGGACGTGGACGTGGACATGGACGCGGACATGGACGTGGACGTGGACATGGACGTGGATGTGGAGGTGGACGTGGACATGGACGTGGCATGGACGTGGATATGAACGTGGACATGGACGTGGACGTGGACGTGGACATGGATATGGACGTGGACGTGGTCATGGACGTGGACATGGACGTGGACGTGGACGTGGACATGGACATGGACGTGGACATGGACGTGGACGTGGACATGGACGTGGACATGGACGTGGACGTGGACGTGGACATGGACGTGGACGTGGACGTGGACGTGGACATGGACGTGGACGTGGACGTGGAGGACATGGACGTGGACATGGACGTCGACGTGGACGTGGACGTGGACGTGGACGTGGACGTGGACGTGGACGTGGACGTGAACGTGGACATGGACGTGGACGTGGACGTGGACGTGAACGTGGACACGGACGTGGACGTGGACGGTGAACGTGGACACGGACGTGGACGTGGACGTGGACGTGGACATGGACACGGACGTGGACGTGGACGTGGACGTGGACATGGACACGGACGTGGACGTGGACATGGACATGGACGTGGACGTGGACGTGGACGTGGACATGGACGTGGACGTGGACGTGGACGTGGACGTGGACATGGATGTGGACGTGGACGTGGACGTGGACCTGGACGCGGACATCGACGTGGACGTGGACTTGGACGTGGACATGGACGTGGACATGGACACGGACGTGGACGTGGACGTGGACATGGACGTGGACGTGGACGTGGAGGACTTGGAAGTGGACATAGACGTGGACGTGGACGTGGACGTGGACATGGACGTGGACGTGGACATGGACGTGGACATGGACGTGGACATGGACCGGACGTGGACGTGGACATGGATGTGGACATGGACATGGACGTGGACGTGGACGTGGACATGGACGTGGACATGGACGTGGACGTGGATGTGGACGTGGACGTTGAGGACATGGATGTGGACATGGACGTGGACGTGGACATGGACATGGACGTGGACGTGGACGTGGACGTGGATGTGGAGGTGGACGTGGACATGGACGTGGACGTGGACGTGGACGTGACGTGGACATGGACATGGACGTGGACGTGGACGTGGACATGGACACGAACGTGGACGTGGACATGGACATGGACATGGACGTGGATGTGGACGTGGACATGGACGTGGACGTGGACGTGGAGGAGGACATGGACGTGGACATGGACGTGGACGTGGACGTGGACGTGGACGTGGATGTGGACGTGGACGTGGACGTGGATGTGGACGCGGACATCGACGTCGACGTGGACATGGAGGTGGACGTGGACGTGGACGTGGACATGGACGTGGACGTGGACGTAGACATGGACGTGGACGTGGACGTGGAGGACTTGGATGTGGACATGGACGTGGACGTGGACGTGGACATGGACGTGGACGTGGACATGGACGTGGACGTGGACGTGGACATGGACGTGGACGTGGACGTGGACGTGGACGTGGACATGGACGTGGACGTGGATGTGGACGTGGACATGGCCGTGGACGTGGACGAGGACGTGGACGTGGACATTGTCGGAGTGTGTGACCCTCACCAGCACTTGCTCTTCTTCCTGTTGTTCTTCTTCAACACTCCCTGCTCTGTGCTGCCCTACTTCAGTCACTCACATGAACGTGATCACTCCCTCACCCCACCGGTTCCTTCTTAGTGCTGTGCCACCGCGTGTAGTAGCTAGGATAACAGCCCTGCACTAGTATGAAAGAATACTGAACAATAGGCATCGAGTGAGTGGGCGTGGGTGACCTTACCCAACCTCGGCTTGCACATTTCCAATGCGGCTCGAGGTTGGGATTTGTTCGAATCCCAAATTTTGCCCTTCGGTGCTTTTCCCCCTTCATCCCAACCGCTCCCACATATTTCCCCCTTTCTGCACCCCTTTGCAACCGACACTTCGCTACTGGCTACACCTCCTACACTACTTCTTGTCTATCTACCTCAATGCATTCTTAGCTATTTGCTATACTACTTCCCAGCACCGCACTCTACTGTTATTGCATATGCATCCCTTGCATATACGGTGACAGCTGTCGGAGTGTGTGACCCTCACCAGCACTTGCTCTTCTTCCTGTTGTTCTTCTTCAACACTCCCTGCTCTGTGCTGCCCTACCTCAGTCACTCACTGCCCCCTCCTGTGCCCGTGCTTGGGTAGCTCGAGCTCGTGTCACAGGACCAGCTTGCTGAGGCTTGCTCCCCCTCACCAGGGCCGTGTTGGTCTGGTGCTCCTTCAGCTGTGCCCCCTTTTCGTTCTCCAGCACGAGAATACCCGAGGGCCGAACTTCCTTCACTCTCCACCTCTCGGTCCCCACCCCGACGTCCAGCGTGTCCTGTTTTGCCCTTTTCAGGTACACCTCCTGCCCCTCACTTGCTCCCTTTTTCTCTCTCCTTCCCAACATCCCCTGCTGCTGGCGTTGCTCATAACGTCTGGCGTCTCTCAGCTGTGCCGTGTGTAGGTTTTCTAGCGCTGCTGGCATTATCACTCGGAGGTACCTTGCTCTGGCCTCTGACAAGGCCACCCAGTTGTCTATGGTGCCTGCTGTCACTGTGTCCGTGAGGACCCGTGGTGCCCCCACAGGTAGCACCGGCTCACAACCAAACAGAAGGCTGTAGGGTGAATGGTCTCTCAGGGCTGCCTGCTTCCCAAACCTATATCCTGCCGCAATCTAGTGTAGCTCATTGTCCCATTCCCGCTTCCTTTTCTCCCCATATGCCCGTAGCCCTCGCTTCAACGTCTGCACTAGGCGCTCGGTCAGCCCATCACTCTGTGGGTGATACCGAGAGGTGCGCCTGTGGGTGATTCCCGCTTCCTCTAACAGCTCCCTGAACTCCCTTTGAAACTCTGTGCCTTGATCGGTGAGCACCTCTGCACACGCCCCAAATCTGCATATTACTTGCTCCTTGAATGCTGCTGCACATGTCTTGAGCTCTTGCTGGGGATAGCCCTCACCTCCAGCCACTTGCTCACGTGCTCCACCATGAGCACTATGTACCGTTTCCCCCCCCGACTCAGCGGCAGTTCCCCTGCCAGGTCCAAGGACCATCTGAAGCCTAACCCGCGGATGGGCAGGGACTGCAGCTCGGCCTTGGCTTGGGTCAGGTTTGCTCGGCTCCTTTGGCAGGCCTCACATCCCTCCACCCACTTCTGCACCTGCCTGCGCATTCCCTCCCACCACCAGCCCGTCTTCAACAACTGCACTGTCCTCTCATGCCCGAAGTGCCCCAGCTTTGAGTGCACCTCCTTTATCACCGCTTCCCTGTCACCTGGGGCCGGCACCAGCTTCCACCCACCCTCGGTCTGTATCTGCAACTGCTGCTGGTACCACCTGTAGTGGTGCCCCCTTGCTCTCACCCTCTCGCTCATCTCCTCGTCTGCTCCTGTCTCTCCCTTCACACATCTCACAACCTGCTCATCCTCCCAGATATCAGCCGGCCCCTTGCTCCTCCTGGCCCCGCTCAGCTCCACCTGTCTGGCCAGCAGCGCAAGGGTCACTGTTGGCTCTAGCGGTGGGGGGTTACGGGAGAGGCCGTTCACATGCTGCAAGGTTTTTCCTGGCCTGTGCTTGATTTTGAAGTCATTCTCCTGCAGCTTCATTGCCCATCGTGCATTCCTGCCTGTTAACCCTGGTGTAGTCATCAGCCATGTCAGTGGCTGGTGGTCCGTCACCAGGGTGAACTCCCGCCCCTGCAAGTAGACCCTGAAGTGCCCCACAGCCCATACTGCCGCCAGTCCCTCCCCTGTGTACGAGCTGTACTGTGCCTCCGCCGAGTTGCAGCTCCTACTCGCGTAGGCCACCACCTTCTCATCCCCTTCCACCTCCTGGCAGAGTATCCCGCCCATCCCTTGGCTGCTCCAGTCGGTGTAGAGGGTGAAGGGTTGGTCCGCTGCTGGCAGCTGCAAGACAGTTGCTGTTTTCACCGCCGCCATCAGGTCCTGCAATGCCCCTTCTGCGCTTCCCCCCACTCCCATGTCTTGTCCTCCCTTAACAGTCCGTTCAACACCGCTGCCCCGCCTGCTGACGTTGGGCACAAATCGCCGGTAGTAACTCAGAAACCCCAACACCGCTCTCAGCCCTGTCTTGTCCTTTGGTTCTCGCAGCCTATCCAGCACCTCCACCTTTGCTTGCTGGATCACCGATCTGCCCCCCTGTCACCTCGTAGCCCAGATACTGAACGGTCTGCTCACCCCACCTACACTTCTTCGGGTGGACACGTGAGTCCCGCTGCTTCTATTGCTGCCAGTGTCTTCTCCACATCCTGCAGGTGCTGCTGTTCGGAGGTGCTGAAGATCACCACGTCATCTATGTAGCACGCTGCATATTCTACGTCCTCAGCACTGCATTCATGACTCTCTGAAACACTGCTGATGCGTTCCTCAGCCCGAATGGCATGTAAGCCCACTCGTACAGCCCATCCGGCCCGTGAAATGCCGTCTTCCTAACGTCCTCCTCCCTGATTTTTATCTGATTGAACCCCTGCCACAGGTCCAGCGTCGTAAAGAACACCCCCTCTGCTAACTTGTCAAATATCTCCTCCGCCATCGGCATTGGGTACCTGTCCGCCACGGTATTCTTGTTGAGCGCTCGGTAATCTCCGCACATCCTCCTGCTCAGGATCTCCCCTGTTAAGTCCTTCCTCGCTGCCACCACTGTTGGTGTGGCGTATTCTGATTCTGAGCGCCGGATCAGTCCGGCCGCTAGCAGCTCCTTAATCTTCTCCTTGCATATCTCTTCATCTCCGTGCGGCATCTTCCTACGCCGTTGGAACACCGGCTCTGTGCTGCTCAGTTTCAGCTCCATCTCCTTCATTTTGCACCTTCCCAGTTCTTGCAGTGTGAAGGCAAAGCACTTCCTATGCTTGGCCAGCAGTCCCAGCATAGCTTCCCTTCCCTCTTCACTCATCGCTTCCCCCACTGTCCACTTCTCTCCCTCCTCCTCCTGGCAGGTCCATGCTCCTTGTGGGGCTGCTGCTGCCGCCACCTTATCTGCCTCTTGCCCCCCACCCAAGACCATCTCTCGCCACATCCTCTGCACCAGCCACCTCATCATGTAGCCATCCATGGCATTCCCATTGCCCTCCTCCTGTCTTCCTCGCTCACCCTGGTGCTGCCGTCACGTTTTCTCCATATCCCATAGCCAGCTCCCTCTCTAATGCCGTCGGTTCCTCCCACCGTCCCCGCTTGTGGTCTATCAGCCCGGGTCCGGGCTCCCCCTTTTCCCACCTGTAGCCTGCTGCCTCTGCAAAAGCGACCAAGGTGGGCAGAGCCCTCCTGTCCTGCCCCACCTGGTTGCACGGGTAGTGCCTGCTGTAACTTCTTTGACAAACTGGCGCGGGAGTCCGTCCCGGCTCCAGGATGTCCACCACCCTCCTCCCTGTAGCCCTCCTCATCCCCTCTGCTTCCTCCTGCAAATCCAGCACGAGAACCACGTTTTGCCAGTACATCCTGAGGCGGTGAGCGTACGACCCTGCCCTGGCTGCATCACAGCTCATCCCTTTTTCCCACGTGCCGGCCAATCCTCTCCCTCACCAGCCAAATCGGCTCTCTACAATCCCCTTCTAGATCCTGATTCTCTAGCAAGTAAGCCACTCTGCCCTGCCTCTCCTGCAGCCACTCCAGGATATTGAACAGGTTGTCCATCAGCTTCGTCCTCGGGTCCTCCCCTCCCTTCCCTTTTCCTGCCCATGACACCCCTTGACACTCCCATCCCGCCACCAGCAGGTCCACCTGCCCCAGCTGGCCACCTGCTCCTCTGTGATCTGACTCACATCGTGCACCGTACTGCTCATGGCTTCCTGAATTACTTTCTCACCCAGGAGGTCCGGGAACTCAGCTCTCAGCTTGTGCGCGTGATGCTCAGCCATCCTTCTCACCTGTGGTGCCAGTTCCACATAGACCCACTGCTGCACTGCAATCCCAATCCTCACTGCTGCCGCCAGCCCTGCCCCGATTCCTCCGAACAACTTTACTAGCCGGATGGGCTGCTGCCAATCGCTATGCTGCCCCGGCTTGTCCATCAGTTTCATCCTGGGCCCCTCCTTGGTCTCTGCTGCTCCTCTCTGCCCCCTTTGTGCCCCTCCTGCTCCGACCTGATAGGCCCGCTTCGGCTCCACCCTTACAAACTGCACTGGCAGCTGCCCCAATGGTCCCTCCTTCAGTATCTCGTTCGGAACTCCACCTTCTCTATCCAGGTACATATGCTCATGCCTACAGCGAACACACCAATTCCGTCCCCATCAGCAGATCAAAGTCCTCGGACTCGAGATTCCACACTTCATCCTGATCCTTGTTTCATGCTCCCCTCCTGGCAGCAGTGTCAACTCTATGGGGTCCGTGTGCACGGCATCCACTTTGGTTCCCCTCCCTCTGCTGTCATGACTAACATCCCTTCTCCACGTGCCTCTCAGGGGCCATCAGCCCCAACCGTTCGGCCATCCCCTTACCCAGCATCACGCTCTGTGCTCCTGTGTCATGATCGCCGTCTTTACCTTCATCCCCCCACTTCCACCGCTCGTTGCTTCCACGAGCAGCACTGAGGTCTGGCACGCGAGTCATTCCTGCGGGTGCGGGCTGGGTCTTCTCTCCTCCTGGCGCGTCCGGCCTGGACCCGTGCTCACGTGGCTTCCGGCTATGCTCCTGCCTGCCATCCTTCCCCCCGCTACGCAGCCCCATCTGTTCCCGCCTCTCCAGGCCATGAGGGCACACTGCACGTCCGGCTCCACCCCTTCTCCCTCCTCGTCCCTAGCGTACATCCCGCCTCCGCTCCCACCCTGAACCCCATGGCCTGCAGTTGAGACTGCAGCCTGCTGATCTGCCGCTGCAGCTCCTCTGGTTTCCTCCTTGCCCCTCCTCCCGCTGGTAACACTCCTTGCCTCGTGCCCCTTCTTCCCGCAGATTTCACACTTCGCCGCATCCGGACATTATCGTTTCCGGTGCCCAGGCTTCCCACATCCATCACAGTTTTTGCAACTCTGCGGAGGTGCCCCATCTGTCCACAACGGTAGCAGGTGCGCGCGTCGGCTCTCTCTTCCCCGTGTGGGTCCACCCTCCCTCGCTCCTCTGGTATCATAGCCGCGCCCATGTCGGTCTGCGGCTCCTCTCTGTCGGCCTCGACAGGTAGGCCCTCATACCTCCTGTGTGCCAGCTCCACCCTTTCCGCCAGGTCAAACACCTCCTCTAGTGCCGCATCCGCCCCCAACTCGTACACACCTCACCATGGACGTGGACGTGGTCGTGGACGTGGACGTGGACGTGGACATGGACGTGGACATGGACGTGGACGTCGACGTGGACGTGGACGTGGACGTGGTCGTGGACGGGGGACGTGGACGTGGACGTGTACGTGGACGGGTGGACGTGGACATGGACGTGGACGTGGACGTGGACTTGGACGTGGACGTGGACTGGACGTGGACTGGACGTGGACTGGACGTGGACGTGGACGTGGACGTGGACATGGACTGGACGTGGACGTGACGTTGGACATGGACGTTGGACGTGGACGTGGACCGGGGACGTGGACGCGACGTGGACCTGGACGTGGACGGGGACGTGGACGCGGACGTGGACCTGGACGTGGACGGGACGTGGACGCGGACGTGGACGCGGACGTGGACGCGGACGTGGACGTGGACGTGGACGTGGACGTGGACCTGGTCGTGGACGTGGACTGGACGTGGATGTGGACGTGGATGAATATATTTCCTAATTTATATTTTGAGCGAGACCACTAATTCCGTGTACTATGCGAGATCTGAGCGCTTCCGTTCTCCTGGCATTTGCATTTTAAGTTCCGATACTGACCGATCTGGGCAATGCACCAATTTCTCTATACATGTGCGTTAGATACCTTTCAGACCTTATTAGCTGACTAGATTTATATATTTCCCACCTTCTCATCGCGAGTGAGACCGCTAGATCCTCTACTTCTTGAGCAACGAGCTTTTCGTTCTCCCTGGCCCCACTTGCACTATAAGTGCGAAATGCCGGCCACACTCGATGCACCATTTTCTCTAGACATGTGCGTTAGTTACCTTTCAAACCCTTACGTTCACTAGATGAATATAATTCTACTTTCTATTGATTGAGACCACTTGATTCCGTGTACTATGCGAGATCTGAGCACTTCCGTTCTCCCTGGCATTTGCATTCTAAGTTCCCATACTGACCGACCTGGCCAATGCACCATTTCCATACACATATACATTAGATTCCTTTCGAACCTTATTAGCTCACTAGATTTATATATTTCCCACCTTCTGATCGAGTGAGACCGCTAGATTCCCTTTACTTTTTGAGAAATGAGCGTTTTATCTTTTTCCCTTGGCCCTAGTTGCACTATAAGTGCAAAATGCCGGCCAGACTGGCCGATGCACCATTCTCTCTATCATGTGCGTTAGTTACCTTTCAAAAACTTACGTTCACTAAATTAATATATTTCCTACCTTATATTGAGTGAGACCATTAGATTCCGTGTACTATGCGAGAGACCTGAGCGGTTCCGTTCCCATGCATTTGCACTCTAAGTTCCAATACTGACCGACCTAGCCAAATGCACCATTTTCCATATATACATATGCATTAGATTCCTTTCGAACCTTATTAGCTCACTAGATTTATATATTCCCACCTTCTGATAGTGTGAGACCGCTAGATTCCCTTTTACTTTTTTGAAAAAGGAGCGTTTGCGTTCTCCTGGCCGTGGACGTGGACGTGGACTATGGACCGTGGACGTGGACGTGGACGTGGACACGTGAACGTGGACGTGGACGTGGACGTTGGACGTGAACGTGGACGTTGGACATGGACGTGGACGTGGAGGTGGACTTGGACGTGGACGTGGACGTTGGACGTGGACATGGACGTGGACGTGGACGTGGACGTGAACGTGGACGTGGACGTGGACGTGGACGTCGGACGTGGACGTGGACGTGGACGTGGACGTGGACTGGTCGTAGACCGTGAACGTGGACGGGGACGTGGACATGGTCGTGGACGTGGACGTGGACGGGGACGTGGACATGGTCGTGA